CTGCTGCGTCCTGTTTCATACTGGATGAAGACCAGGGCAGGTATGTGGAATTCCATGAGAATCTTGCTGATAGGGTCTTGACTGATAATCTTGCAGCAGTGCCGAGACTACGAAATTGCACTGCAGCCCTCTTCCTGCGTTTTAGCTTTGAAAGTACATAAGAAATTCTTTAAAAACTACGGCTCCCCTTCCACACTCCAATGTCACGTACTCCTTAGGAGCCTGAAGACCTCAAAAGGGACCTTTATCGGCGCTGTTCCTGGGTGATGCTGAAGTGATGAGACCAGCTGCCGTCCCTAGTGCCACCAGAAACGCCACTACGCCCAGTACGGGCGTGGAAAATATTCTACTACCACTACTACTACAAGTACTTCTTGCATCACCAGGATCTAGCCAAGCTCTGAATCCCTCCTCTCCTTTTCTAACCTGGGATGTATTCAGCCAGGAATACCCCAGTTCAAACCTTCTACCACCGACTGTGAAGACCTTACGGTGTCGAGCTTCTGGAGATCCCACTCGTCAAAAACAGTATGGCCAAGCAAAACCCGGAATCCGCAATAAGTCAAGGTCCCCTGATCTGTTGAGCCTCAACGGCCTTCGTCTCTCTTGAAAACCCTCTGAGTACACGACTGACGAATTCCTTCGATGGCTTGCCGCCTGACAGGTCATCTATTAGAGCGAGAGCCCCTATGAGAAATAACAACCAAAGCTGTGTAGCTTCGGTTATCGTAAGTCTGCTTTTTCAAGGTCAGAGGAGGTGTAAGTGATGTCTTCCGGCACACGCTGACCCTGCAGCGCATTGAAGTGGGAGCACTATGAGAGGAAGGGAACCCGATCGGGTAGACATTGGCGCAGCCTGAATTTCTAGCTATTTGATCCACGAATCAAAAGCTGCCGGACTGTGGCATAAAGCGCCGCAAGCTAGGGAGAATGCATCAAAAACTCGCGGATTCAACTTCAACTTCACTATGCGATGTCTTAAGGGCAAGGACAACAGACCAGAACAACCATCAGCACCTCTTCTGTTTTGCAGGACAGTCAAAGCACTCTTGCACGCTGGGTTTCCTGGGTGCAAGACGTGCTGGTGTCATCAAGTGCTGACTCGTACTGTCGTGCGGCCTTTCACAGGGATCATTACGTGAAGGAAATCCTGCTACTTGGCGCCAAGGAAGCTGTAAGATCAATCAGGAAGAGAAGGATGAAGGAGACAAAGTAATGGCAACAGGAGCATGTTTCCACCAGTCAGAATGGCCGCAGTTATCATGTTCACTGCTGTTGTTGTAGCAATCAGAATCAGAATTGTTTGCGGGGAAATGGCGGAATGGCTACTCCAATCACTTGCCATCTACCTGGCCGATGTAGGAGCGCAGTTCGCCCAACCAGCCACCCACCTGTCAGCGAGGACGACACAAGCCATTCATGACCATTATTATGTTGATGATGGTCGCGCTTCTTGCGACCACCCCGTTTTACCTGCTTTCCATCTGCGCATTGCATTGACCTCCGCTGCAGTGTCTGGGTACATATGTCGATCTGGAAGAGCTCTCTATGCAAGTGTGTATGTATATATAGCAAGAGAGAGTAAGGTGTGACATACAGGCAGCTGACCCTATATGCGCGTCGTAAGGATTACATACGAGTTGTTGCCAGCTGTTTATGCTGCTCCTGCTGCTAGTGGCGAAAAAACTGTTGCTGTCTTAGCTCTTGTTTTGATTTGTCCTGAGGCGGCCTCACCGCTGCTAAGTAAGCTGATAAACTGCTATTCCTGTGTCTACGGCGATGATGGCTTGTATCTTCTTCATATTTTTCCACTCTCTCTTGTTCCAAGCCCCTAACTCCTGAATCAGGCCCACACATGCTACTCACACAACATCCTCTCATGGACTGTACAAGTGGTGGCATCTGGCAGAAAATGAGCTCCGGCACTTCACATGTATCTTAGAAGATGCTGGCTGCCGACAGAGGAAAACAATCGCGCAAGATCTCCGTGTAGACTTGTATATGAGTGTGTATATGTATATACACACGCGCCCCAGGTTTCATCTCTGTTCCACATTTCTGTTCCACTTGATTCTCCATTTTGGGAATAACATGCCTATATAATATCTACAGTGTATCCGCCGACCCCGCTCTGCGG